TAGCCACGATAGGGAATTACGCCTAGAAATTTGACGTGATTGTACTTGTGGAGATACTTTCTGTTAGCTGGAAAAATGATGTTTTTTGTTTTGTCATTATTTAGCATATCAAGCAAGATGCTGATAAATATCAGCATCTTGCTTGATATGCTAAACAAATTAAATAATTTGTTTCAGCTTTATTTTTAGCGATGTTGATATTGATATCAGTCGAAATGAGAGTAGTGTCATCCGTATATAAGATGTGTTTCGTCAAATTTCAGTGCACAGGTAGATCATTTATTTTACATACAAAATAAAAATCAAGGGACCTAGGACTGATCCCTGTGGGACACCAAATTTTACTTCACGTAAATCAGATTGCATGTTCTGATACATAACCTGCTGTTTTCTGTTCATTAGATAAGATCGAAAAAGTTCATATGGTACACCTTTAACTCCATAAAATTCCATTTTGAATAATAGAATGGGATGTGATACACAGTGAAACACCTTACTGGGATCGAGCAAGTCAGCGCCGTATTAATGCCATCTTCGTGGTTGGTGATGATTTCTTTCAGATCTAAAACCGAATTGTATTTTTCAAGAAAACTAACCAATCTTTCATAAAGTATATATTCAAATATTTTGCCTAATACTGAGATGACTAATATTGGCCGATAATTGTCTGGTTGCCCTTTTTAAAGGTTGGTACGACTTTAGACACTTTTTATCCGGAAAATTTGGTGCTGCGAGGCACTTATTTATAAGTTCAGATAGAGGTGCTGCTACAATATTTACTGTATGTTTGATTATTGTATTGCTAAGGTTGTAGACGTCATAGCTATTGCTATTTTTAAGTAACATGATTATCCTCTTAACTTCATACTCCGTAGTTGGCTTAAGATAGAGGGAATTAAATGATCGTTGGAGTTTTCCCAAATATTTTTTGTAACTTAAATTACTATCTGTAAACGTCTTAGACAATTTTTCGGCAACTGAGGTAAAGTAACGTTTGGATCCGTCACAGTCAATGTCAGATTTATTATTGTGAATTACATTCGGTATTTATTAACTGCCATGTGGCGTTGGTAGTTGACATTGCTTGTGTAAGCGAGATAAGACTTAGCTTTTTTTTGTCTTTATTAGGTCTTTATATACTTGTAATATTAGTATTACAAGTTAGTTAATTGAATCACATATGTGTGTACAGTCGACAGTATGATAAGACCTCTTTCAGTTTATAAAAAAAATAATTTCCGAGCTTTTACCCGACGTATATAGAACGATAATTACAGTTTTTCGAGAAGGCAAGTAGACTTTTTTTACTGAAGCTTAATTAATTAATCAGTTCTCACCTGTGTTTTGAGGCGGAAAAATGAATTAAATTTAATTTTCTGGTATGCAGCGGCTGATGCTTGAAAAAATGATAACGTTTCTTATAGTCAAATTCTTCCAAAGCATCAACTTAAACACTCGAAGTTAGTATGTAATTACTGAGAGTACATTTTTCTACTTGGTTGTCTGGTTTAAAAATATTTTATATCGTCCGCCGTTGTGCGGACGCAACCCTTGCAGTTCGCAACCCCGCACTGCCATTGGTTTTTGCTTTATCGACGTTATTACAAAACAAAAATCCCAAAATCAAATTTTATCATTTTTCAAAGCAGCAGGATTTGTTAGACTGTACTTCAAAGAGGAGGGAAATTCTGTCAAAATAGGTGTCGACCGATTTTTCAAAAATAATTTCAGCGTACATTTAGTTATAGATCAATTTTGAAATTTTCAGAATGTAAAATCCCCATGTTCAAAAGACGATTTTATACCCGATTGATATGTTAATGGCATTAACAGTATGTTTTTTATTAATACTGGTCAAAATATTGTAAGATCAAATATTTTATCTTTTAGTGAATTATTATTCTATTTTACTTCCAAGATTCATTTTGAAATCACCGCCTACTGTGTATATTGAATTTAGGGAATCGAGACCATTTAGCACTGGCATCATTTTCTGGTGTAGGAATATACAGGGTGTTTATAAATAATTCATACACCCAGCACACGCAAAATTTAATTATTTTTTACTTCTCGAGTGTAAGTTAAGGAAGTATCTATAGTAATCGAGTCCATCTGACGAATGACCACTTCTGTCTGTCTGTCGGTCTGGTGTCTGTATCCATTTTTATTAGACACGTAATCTCCGAAGCTGATGAACCGATTGCTGTCAAGTTTTGTAGATACGTATATTAGAAATATCAAATATCATGTAGGTGGTTAAATCCTAACCAAAATTTTGCCAATCATTGATAACGCCATTTTAAAGAACTCTATGATTGATTTAACTGTTATACAACAATATACTCCTATAAGTGTGGTGTACGAACTCGCTTTGAGTTTTTCCCTAACCGTCCAAATTTTTGCAAAAACTTAAAGCAAGGCATCCCGGTCGTGGTCTAATGGTTAAGGCTGAGGAATGCGGACCCGACGTCGCGCGTTCGATTCCAAGTTTGGCTTTCGTTTTTTTTCCTTTGTTTTTCTTTTCCCCTTGCATTGTGTATTATCTATGTTTATAGCAAATTTTTTATTGGTCACACGTCTGTATACAGGGTGTTATTGGAAGTTACGTACAACAAAATTGACAGTTCTTCGCGAAGTCTAAGAAGTCTGAAAATCTTATGTTGTGTTATCAAAATTATAAGGAGAAAATTAACCCTTATCCAACCTTTTTGGCCGCCACTGAAATATAAACAGGTAAAATTAATTTATTTTAGTAAATCCTAGCAATTGTAACAATCAAACTTTTGTCAAGACTAAATGTTGCTATAGAAACGAGAGATGATCTTTTTATCAGAGGCGTACAACGAATTTGGACATAAATTTTAATAATTTTTATCTCTAAAAGGAGAACACTTTTACTTGAACTTTTTTTATTTTCTACGTACCTTTCAATAACACGCTGTACAATAATGATAAAATAAAAATTATAATATTCAGAACATTTTGTTTGACTGTGGTTTAATTAATAATTTTAGTCCTCTGTTTTGAGAAAACAAACTCATCCAAATCAAACTAATTTTTACATGACATTCTTTCGATGTATACACATAAATAAACACTTCAGATTGCTATTACCTAGTGCTGAAGGACATTTTATCCCGTTAGTTAAGTGCTTTAAATATATTTTACATTGTCCGTACGGCGAGAGGCTGCGGGGTGTTATTTATGCCGCTGGTTTTATTTTACAGCGGATATTTCAAAGCGAAAATCGTAAAATCAAATTTTATAATTTTCTTAAAGAACTGGATTTGTCGGATTATACTTAGCCTTCGATCAATTTATTTAAATACATTAAAGAATTGTATCGTTTGTAAGAGATGATGTTCTAATCGTACTATATAGAATTTTGTTATAATCAAAACTTTAATAACTCACAAAAATTGTTTAAAGTGGACTCCATCTTACTATAAACACAACCTAACCCTGGTATTGTGATGTATGAATAATGTTTATAGACACTTTGTATTAATGAGTAGACTTTTTTAACGCAATTGAACCATTCATTGTGACCAATTATTTTTACTTGATCCCTAATTACGTCGATGGCACTGTCACTAAAATTTGGATTGTTGTTATTTCAACGTACTCTTGATTTTAATAGGGACCAAATCATTTCAATCGGGTTAAGTCGCAGTGATATGGAGGTAACCGCAGAACATAATGACCGTAAATCGCTGCCTCCTCGTCGATGACATAGCTTTTGTTAAATTCTTTTGTGTGAAGAACTTCTGGAAGTTGTTTTTTGTTATAGTGATCTTCGTAATATAAATAATTTTCTTCAAGAAACTTCTTAATTTCTTCTTTTTTCGATCCGGAATTTGGAATTTTTCTAGCCTGAATGGAATGATAACTTGGGTGATCGATTACAATTATGCTGTTGGTTGACAAATTTGGAAGAAGGTTAGTGGAAAACCACTCAAAAAATATGTCTCCCGTCATCTCATCGTGGTGATCAACTTCCACACTCTTATTGTTTTTCCAGGAAACATACAGAACTTTCGGAATAAAACCTTGTTTTGATTGTAAAATTATTATCCGTTGGCCTTCTCAATCGGGGCACGTTTAAAATACAATTTGAATTGCTATCAACCAATCCATTTTTTAACACGTCATGCGAATCGTACCGTGTTTCATATAGAAAAATAATGCTTCTGTCCTTTTTCCTGAATTTCACTACTTCACGAAGGTAGTATACCGTCATTCATTTATTGCTTTTGATTCTTTCATCACATGCCTTTTATCCACTGTTTTATAATCAAATCCCATATTTTTGTAGAAGTGTTCGAATTGTTTCAAGGCAACACTGCAATCCAATAATGTCTGGAATTTTTTCTTGAATATATTTCAGTGTCTGCACGTCATTATTTTTATATCCATCATAAATGATTTTTCTTACAGGGTACCTATATTCTTCTACTTTCAGTTTTCGAGCGACTCCCTTATCCACTCGTTCCTTTGGAACTTTTGTATATTCAGCTGTTGTTTCAATGAATTTTTCTTCTAGCACTACTTTTTTTTCTTTCAATGAATTATAGACATTAAGTTTAATTTGTTTTGCCCCTGGAGGAAGAAAAAGTCGTTTGAAGCAAACACCCCCACTGTTAATTTCGAAATTCTTTTCATGATTATCCACTGCCCCATATTCAAAATCCACTGCTGCGTCGTCTGCGAAATTCATTTCTTCATTTTGAACATTTATGGGTACCATTTCTTCAGTACTTATTTCGTTTCACGGTCTCCACAAGTTTAGTTATTTTCACCACCTTTGACTGATCGGAACGAAGTACTCTTATCAATTGAAAGCTACCGAGGTAGTAACGATTCTTTTATTTGCAAATGACTCAAAAAAGGTTTTTTGATTAAAAATTACTGTGCCGTTTATTTATTTGTTTACTTATTTATTTATTTTCTTAAAGACTGCTTAAATTGTTTTTCCATCAATTTTAATGAAACACGTCAAGTAACGTAAATTCACTAGCGTTTATTTTAAGGTAACGTTTTAAATTTGGTACAAAAACATAAGTATACACCTCTGTAAATCACTTGTGTAATATGCGTCAAGAATACAATATCACGTCTTTATTCCCTACGCTGCTGAGGTTACAATGGCAAGCCAGTTATTTCAACTTACTGCATCTTAAATAACATTATAAACAACCTACACTTAACTACTTAACACATGGTAACATTTAAAATAAAACATTCAAAAAAAATCCGCACAATAGCGACAAACCTTTATACAAAATTAAGCATAGGACTGTTACAAGCGCGTAATGCAGCACCATCAGTTTGTAGTACTTCACGGCTCCTTCTCGTAACGTAGACATCGGGTCCTTGAGCAAATAAGTTCTGGCACCTCGGACATACGTGTAAAAGTAACTGTCCCAGTTGAAGTTCTTCATTGAAAACTCGAACAGTTCCTTGTCACGTGTGGATAGCCTTTTCCACAGCAACTGCACATTGTCATTAGTAAAGACCCATTCTCGAGAGCTGAAGTAGCCTATGACGTCGGTGAATTTCTGCACCTTTTGGTAGCCCTTAACCAACCTGGAATAATAATAATAATGTTACGATACAAAGATTGTTTGACATTTATCATTTTCCAAGGATTATTCGATTACTGGAATACTTACATAGGTTTTTTGCCCAAGCAAACGGCGATAAAGTCCACCAAATATGCTGGAATGGTGTGTAAAAAGAAAACTGCAATTAGATGCTGCAGTTTCGAAGACCGCAACGTGAATATGTAATGCCAGAGGACGAGAGGACTCGGTACTTGCTTTGCATGTCTTTCAGCCAATTTGGTATAATCGTCTACAAAAAAACCATAGTTTATATGTTAAAGTAAAAAAAAAAACCGGTAGTACCCCACGTAATTGGGGACTCCGCAGAACTGACGAAATTGTAAATGGGTACTTGGTCTTCAAATTTGACGTGATGAGGCTCACGGCCGTTTTGCTCTTTGTTTTCGTTCAAAGTTTTTGTCGCAGCAACGTCGTAGGCAATCGCTAGGCCACAGTTGATGACGTAGTCGGCTGGTACCATTTCTGCTCTGTTTTCCTTTTTGCCGTAGAGACTTCTTAGGACACCCATAGCAGCTCCTACGAGTACTCCAGTGGCTCCGTAGAGGTTGTCGATCCATCCTGCTACGGGCTCTTTGAGGGATGCTATCACTGGAAATTCAAACATTGTATATAGATTTATCTTATATTCATCTATCTCTAACTTCGTGTTTTACTTTCTCTACAACTAACCTATAGATGGTCGAAGTACCGCAACCGGTAAGCTTTTTCCTTCGGTTCTGATCACATCTTCTGCTACCGCTTTAGTAAAGACATATGTGTTAGGGTAGTCATCCAGCAATCTGGAAAAAAACACACAAATTAGTACCAGATTTTCACTTTTTTAAAAAGTCACGTTGAACTTAGATGTTTTTAACTTACATGGGTGTAATTTTGTCCAATTTGTCGTCATCTAAAGATTCCAAAAGAGATAGTAACTTGTGGCTCTCAATCGGTGGTGGATAGAAGACTTCGCTGATTTCCTTCCTAACGCAGTGCGAAAATGCTGTAGATACGTAAATCATAGCCTGAAAATAATTAAATATATGGACTTTGGCAAAACTAATTGTCTTAAAAACAAGCTAGGAAAGAGCAAAACGTGCATAATTGTCGTAAAAAGGAACCAGGAAAAATAGGAACAGAAATCCTCTATAATAAAAGAAATACCACAATACAACTATGGTCAGGAGAAAAAAAAAGGGGACACCAGGAATAGCTTTTTTAAAATTTTCTTTGTTATACTCTTTGCTTCTCATTCTAAGTACTAATTTTATTTCTGTTCACTATAAGATCATTCATTTCATTCAGATTGCATGAAATCAATCACTGAAAAGGAGACAGGGTGGGTGGGCGGGGCTAATTATGTTCTTCTGAGTGGGAGTGGAAACTAATAATAGAATCCAGGACGTGAAAAAAGTAGAAAAAAAAACGCTAATCGTAACTTTTTTTGTTATACTATTTGCTATAAAATTTCTTATTTTATGCACTTGACGTGACCTGACCTGACTTCTCTATTGTCCCAAATGAACAAATTTTAATATTTCTATAAATATATAAAGACTACAAAGTACATTCTTCCAATATTAATTTCCTTTTTCATCTACAAAATTTTTAAAGCGAACTATTTTGACGAAACTGTAAAAACTGCTATATTTCGAGCAGCGATTTTGGGAAAACGATAGGAATTTCCGAAAAAGCGAAGCCGAAAATGACTTCTGCATATCGAAATCTACAAGAAAATGCCTTCAACAAATTTTCGAAAATAGTTGAAAATGGTCAACAATGTCAAAATCAGTCTTAACTTATCGAATACTAGCCCCGCCCACCCACCCACTATTTTCTCAGAGGATATGTCATTTGCCAAAATAAATCTTATTTAAACACATTCAGAGGCAGGGTAGTAAAACGCTTCTCGTCACGAATTGCGGCTCTCTGAATGATTCGCTCGTTATAAAAGGAATTGCGTCACTTGGCAGAGACGATTCGCATAATAAAATCGTCTATAGAACGCGGACATGCGGAAACGGTAAACCTGCATTTTCGAATTTTACGAGCTGTGAAAGCTGCTATCGTTTGAGCACAAAAATCTATCAACTATCTATGCATTATTAAACCGACGCCAAATAAATATTGTGTATATTATATAGTACCTACCAAGATAAAACCGATTTCGACAAATAACACCCTCTAAGAAAACAGAGGGGGGCTGGGTGGGGCTAGATATGACTGAACAATTTTAAGTACAGTTACTAGAACGAAGAGGGGGTGGGTGGGGGGGGGGGGGCTATTGCCTGTGTACTAAAGATTCAGTGAAGCAAAGTAAAACCTAGCCCCACCCACCCTTCCGTTTTCTTTTTTCTTGTGAAATAGGAAATACATTTCTTATACAAGTTTTTAGTTCTTTATATAAAACAGTTACGATTAGCGATTTTTTTACGTTTTTCACAGTCTAGGCTCTAATAGTTTCCACTCTCATTCGACAGAAGAATTATACATTTGCCAAAGTAAATCTTATCTTAGCAAGTACTCGCTCCGTTCACCCGCCTTCTATTTTCTTAAAAGGTATGTCACTTCCTAGTATTTGCTAAGATAAGACTGACTTTGGCAAATGACATAATCCTCTGAAAAAATTGGGGGTGCGTGGGCGGGGCTAGTACTTACTAAGATAAAACTGATTTTGGCAATTGCCATACCCTCTAAGAAAATAGGGGGCAAATCTAAAAAATATGAATGCAATGATAAATTACAAGTAAGAACTCATCATATTTTGGGTAGAATTTATTCGGCAAAATTTTGAGATGACGTTATTAATTTCTTGGGGGCAATGACCAGATATATTTGGTTACATGCTTACAATAACTTTAAAACAACTGCAAGATTTCAAAGTATTCATTTGTCAAAATCAATCTTATCTTACTAAGTACTAGCCCTGGCCATTATCATGAAATAATTGATAGGAAGCAAAATATTAATTAAAGAATTGGTCGAAAATTATTTCGACAGGACTTCCCTCGCCACCGAAGTGCAGTGCCACAAATCCCGCTTCTTTGAACAATTAAAAAATTAGATTTTGCGAATTTGTATTCAATCAAAAAATTTATTATAAACATTTTTGATGATGTTTTGATAGTGAGATTGGGCAAATTTTGGTTAGCGTTTTAGCATTGATTAAGCCCCGCCCACCCACCCTATCTCAATTGTGATGAATTTTTCATTTGTTGTCAGATTGATGGGAAGAGGTTAATTGCAAAATCCATTTTTCTCTAAAAAATTTATCATTTCAACTTTCTTTTAAGTTTGCTGTTGTAAAAAGATGATTATACGTATATTAAGAAAAAAAAAGACTAAATATAGCCCCTCCAGCCGGAATACAGACATTTTTGACGGAATGACAGAAGCAGACAAATTTTGATCTTTCCGTCATGGAAGTTCCTAACGTACATATAAAATACAATCGGTCCGGTAGTTTTGGAGATCATCTGCCTAATAAAAATCTGAATAGACTGAGCCACGAGACCTAATTTTTCATATTTATGGGTCATGAAATGTCGAGAAAACATGAAAGTAGCCAGTCGCTCTTCGATAGACTCGATTACAATACTTCCTTTATGAACCGATTTGCCCATAGCTCTCATTTTCGGTTTGTAAATCCATAGTTTTCTTTCAGCAACAGGATACTTAAAACATCTTTCACATGCATTTTCTTCTAGAAATTAGAAGGAGAAATATGGACTTTGCAATTAAGCTCCGCCTCCCGTCTCACGGTGAATAAAAAATGAATCACAAATGAGATGAGGGCGGGTGGGTGGGGCTTATTATTTCAACCATAAAAAAACACTTTTAAAATATCAAATGTTGGATTTGATGTTAGAATTATGTTTTAAGCGTAGTGTTATTGAAAGAAAATTCTATATTTTAAGGAAAAAAGCTAATGATTAAGCCCCACCCACCCATATCTCAATTGTGATGAATTTTTCATTTGTTGTCAGATCGAAGGGAGGAGTTTAATTGCAAAATCCATTTTTCTCTACAAAATTTATCATTTCAAATATCTTTTAAGTTTGTAAAAAGACGATTATACGTACATTAAGAAAAAAAATTGGTCTAAAGAGTTTAGACAGTACTTCCCTCGCTGTCAGAAACGTGACGATTGCACGCCTATTATGTTTTTTTTTCGCATTAGATTTCAAAGCATTCGGTTTTGTAGTTCTTGATTAAATCAATGAAATAAATTTGCGCATTCATTAATTTTTTGGGTCACCCTGTATATGCAAATCCAAAAAATTTCAATGGAATGATAATTCACAAGAAGAGACTCATCATATTTTGTACATTTTAGATAGGATTTATTCAGAAAAATTTTGGGATGGCGTCATCTATTTTTTAGGGGGGATGAGCAAATATATTTTGAGCAAAAATTTATCACGCTTAAATTTAAAACATTTCCAAGATTTCAAAGCATTCGGTTTTGTAGTTCCTGATTAAATCAATAAAATAAATATGCGCATTCATTAAATTTTTTGAGTCATCCTGTATATGCAAATTCCAAAAATGTGAATGGAATGATAAATTACAAGAAGAGCCTCATCATATTTTGTACATTTTAGATAGGATTATTCGGCAAACTTTTGAGCTGACGTCATCAATTTTTTGGAGGGGATAAGCAAATATATTTTGAATAAAAATTTATTATGTTCTTTATAATCTTAAAACATTTGCAAAATCTCAAAGCATTCGGTTCTGTAGTTCCTGATTAAATCAATAAAATAAATTCACGCATTCATTAATTTTTTGGGTCACCCTGTACATGCATACCCAAAAAATATGAATGGAATGATAAATCACAAGAAGAAACTAATCATATTTTGTACATTTTAGTTAGGATTTATTCAGCAAAATTTTGGGGTGACGTCATACTGTAAAGCATGTGCAAGATTTCAAAGCATTCGGTTTTGTAGATTCCAAATTAAATGTCAAAATGTTGTTTCCTAATTTTATTTATTTTTTTTTTTTCAAAAATCTGGACGTTTCGGGTAAAATCTCAATTCGGAGTCATAAACTACATGTGTAAGACTATATTATTTGATACAATTTAAAACCCAATTACTATGTACAATTTTGAAGTGACGTCATCACATTAGTGTTGGGGATGATTAGACAAATTTTGGTTAGCGTTTTACCATCTACATGATATATCTAATATAAGTACAAAATTTGACAACAATCTGCCTAGTACTGTCGGAGATTCTCTGTCTAATAAAAATCCGAGACGGACAGACAGACAGACAGACGGAAACGAGAGACCTATTTCTTCGTCTTCTAGGAGTCATGAAAGTTCAAGAAAATGTAAAAGTAGAGAGTAAAAAAAGGGTAAATATAGCCCCGCTAGCCGGAATATGTATGACAGAAATTGGCAAATTTTGATATTTCCGTCATGAAGTTCAGATTGCTATTCTATATTTTAAAAATTTCTAAACAAGAATCTAGAAAGTAATGACGACGTATTTTGGGTTGCGTTTAAAATTTATTCATGTGTTTAATAGTACCCAAGCGCAATTAAGGTTTGCAAATACACCTCAGTTATAAATAAGTGCTGACCGGTTCAACGGATTTGACTAAGATTCTAATAAAATAATAATGTTGTTGTTAATTAAGAATATTAAGAATAGTTATTAGAAGGAAGAGGGGGTGAGTGGGCGGGGCTACTCTAGAAAAAAGCTAAACTTAGCCCCGCCCACTCACCCAGATTCCGTGATCGGTCATTTTATTGGCTCTGAGAAAGAACTTGGATTTTATATTGACAAATAGAATCTATAGGATTACTTTTTTTTATAAATGTTGGTCTTGTATGTTTATTTAACTCCAGCTTAACAGATAGATAACTTGGTAAACAATTTGTGTATCTTCTCGTCAACCGTTCAACAGATTTGTGTAAGATTCTAATAAAATAATAACGTTGTCATTAATTAACAATAATAAGAATGGTCCCTACAATGAAAAACGGGTGGGTGGGCGGGGCTACTCTTTT